TGCACAGAGAAATAATATAGGCAAACTTAATAAGCAAGTCAATATAAAGATTATCGAGTCACAATTAATGATTTAATGAAATCTCAGTTGCAAAATTGCTTAGGCAGTGTTACAAACTCATTAGGCAAGACAATTTAAAACAATAACAAACACAAGTAATGAAATGCACTTTAACATAATTCGTGGGTTAATATTTAGAAAAGTCACCTTGAGTTTCCCTCACTCAAGCTCTCTTGCGGTTAACGGAAAGAAAGATATTAGCAATACTGACGTGATCACCACGAGGAAGAGGGAGCTTACAATACTATCCACGAAAAGGCTAGTCGGAGTTGGAGGAGTAGGTGGAAGATGTAAGAGCTGCCACTCGGATGGAAGGTAGTATTCGTCGATGGTGGTTGATAGAGAAAATAGTATCCGATCCACACGCAATCTTCAACGGTTGCGTCGATCTCTACGCTGACGTCACAAAAAAGGCGATCTCAAAACGTCCACATGTCCTTGGGAATCAAAGACAAATCTCTAATCAACATCCGGATTGCCCATGCATAGTTGTCCAAGAGAAAATATAGAGAGGGAGAGGAGGAGGGGTCGGCCAAGCTAAGGGGAGAAGGAGAAAAATAAAATCTAAAATTAAAATTTCATATTTAATGAATAATTAGGGATTAATCTCCTTTGAAATTTAAAATTTGAAATAAGTGGAGATTAGGAGGGAAAGTGGTGAGGAAATGAATTAATTAGATCCTTAATTTATGGATCTAATTTAATAAAAGGGGGGGCTTGGTTGGCCGGCCAAGGAGAGAGGAAGAGGGAGAGATTGAGTATTAATGGGGTGGAACAAACAATTAGTGGCTTATTTTCTAAAATCTTAAATTAATTTCAGATTTCTAAAAATAAGCCACTAATTGGAGGATTAATAGTGAAGTTTCCTAAGAATGAATCACATTAATTGGAGGGAATTTTGAGAATTTGATTTCAAATCCTTTCCAACTTAGTATTAATCCAAATAGGAAACTATGAAGGCTAATTGAAGGGACCCAAAGGGAGCAAGGGAGGCCGGTTGGTTGGGTTTTTGGAGGCGACGAGTGGGGAAAAACCACCAGTGTTCTGGCGGCTGGGTTGGGCTAGAAAGGTGGCTGGCGTGTGGAGGGGTTGCGTAGGTGTGGTGGTTTGGGAAGGGGAAACGGGAAGGGGGCTGCCGTCGCGCTATGGAGGAGAGGGATGTGGCCGGCTGTTTGGGGAAGAAAAAAGAGAGGAAAAGAAAGAAGAAGAGAATAAGAGAAAAACAAAACCAAGAGCTCACCCGCCAAGTGGCGGGCTGTTGGGTATATGTTAGCCTCAAGGTTTAAAATTTACGTAACTGCGGCCTCGAGGCGGTTTTTGTCCGTGAGGCGAGGCGTAAGCCTCGAGGCGGTCCTGAGGCGTAAGCCTCACGACCACAGAATTGCATAAATGAAAAATTAAGGATTTTAGCAGGAAAATAATAGCAATAGTGGAAAATAAGAAAGTAGATGCAATAAAATTATGTCCCAAAGTACAAAATCACAAAATATTAGTTTAACAAAACTCCCAAAATACAAAAAACATATAAATGAAATCATATCCCATCACTAAATGGGTCTTCAAGTGAATCTTCTTCTCAATTGTATCTATGAATGCCATGTCATCTTCATTTTCACATGACTCACTTTTCTCTTCCCTGTTCATTAAGATAAAAGATCATTATCATGTATTCATGTTCATTGCTCACTTGACAATAAATGTAAATGTAATAGCATTAAGAAGTTGTGGAATACCTTTACTTGATTGTTGTGCTGCAGAGCTAGTGGATGTGCCAACTGCAGTACTAGTGGATGTGTCAACTTGATCTACTTCGCCCCTCAAGACATCCACACTTAGATCTTCTAACTGTAAGTTTGATAATGACAAATCTGTCTTATCATCTATGAACCACTCATTATCAGACGACACATCATCACACACTAATGGGTCCTCATCATCCTTCAACCCCTTATTCCTCAACCTCTTGTTGTGCATAATATATACCAAAGAGTTCATTCTGAGTGTTGATAGCCGATTTCTTCTCTTTGTTTGAACTTGACTATATGTACTCCAATTTCGCTCACACTCAGAAGAAGAACAAGTGAGGCCCAACACTCTTACAGCAAAACTCTGTAACTCAGGGGTGGAATCACCAAATTTGGATCCACCATTCAACTGTTTTCAAGAAAAAACATAATCAGAACTAAATAAAGTGTTTTGCATTTACCAAAAAAATTATACCTGGAGATCGTTTAGAAATGGTTGCTTTGCTGCATTCAATCCAAAAAATCCTCTTTATTCCGGAACTGAACAAGCTGTAAATCTGCAAGCTCCCTATCTGCCTGCTCCGGTATTAATCTTTCCATACAATGATATAATCCAAGCTTCACCTCAGGATTTGAAGATTTCTTCTCTGAATATTGAAATTGAGGGTTGAGATAAAATGCCGCTGCATGTAGATGTCGGTGTAACTGCACCTCCCACCGAGCATCCTCTTCTCCATCAACATCTGACCAGCTGCTTTGTATGCACTGGCATTATCAGTCACTACCTGGACAACCAATTGCTCCCACATCTCCTTAAACAACACCATCAAAGAAATTGAAAATGAATGTGGCATTTTTCACCTCCTCTGAAGCATCAAACTGATCATAAGAACACAGTTGCCGTAGGGATTGTTGACAAGGATGTTATCAAGCTCCTGCTCTTCATGTTAGACCATATCCATCTTACATAATAGTCACACCGGTCTCAATCCATGTCCTTTTAATCTCTTGAATACTCCGCTCTGTGTTCTGCAGCTCCTCTTTTAAAATTCATGTTCGCAACTCATACATGGAAGGTGCCTTCAACCCTCTTCCATACAATCCTACAGACCGCAACATACTAAGTAGGCGGCGATGTAGCAACATTAAATGGTATTGCATTCTCAAAAAAAAAAAACCTCCCAATGTCCATGCAAACCTGTCGTCGCCCCTCTCTAGTACCAGCTGCAGGCATCATCTCTGCTTCTCTTCTATCCACTCCTGGAGTAGTCATATACTGATCCATAGGACCCGTGCACCTCTACTATGTATACTGGAGGAAGAGCCCTTTCCACTCTCGCTCCCAAAATATACACCTTGCTCGACCCTTTCATCAAATTGCTCCTGTTGTAAGTGTTTAGCAGTGGTAGTTTTCTTCATGTAAGCACTTATTTCTTCCTTCACATTGTCCGGCACTTTTGCACAGGGTGCTACATTTTTGTGCGAGCATGATAGATGTTCCTTCATGCGGGTAACACCTCCCTTCACCACTTTATCGCAAAAATTACATTTCAAATATACATAGCTCTTCTCTCCGCCGCCAATGTCAACTTGTACACTATACTTCCAAGAAGGGTCCCTCCGCAATGACGTATTCGTCTTTTCTTTACCTCTAACCATGTCTCCTAAAGCAAAAAATCAAATACACTAAAAAAAACTAAACCCTAGTTTCTCTTAAACTTGCAAAATACATCCCTAAACTTAATAAAAATACCTAAAATCCAATGTGGAGTACTCCTTGAGGGTGGCCGGAAGTTTCCACTTCGCCGGAGAGAGGCGGCGCCGGCGGGAGGAGCGGCGGGAAGCAAGGCCGACCGCGTGAGGGAGCTCGGAATCGCGACCTGGAGCTTGCGGGAGGGAGAAAGGTCGGGTAATGCTGAAGTTTACGGGTTAAAGGAGAGAAAAATACTTCATTTTAAGTGAGTGGACCCTACCCAGAGAGGCGTACGCCTCACAATGAGTTGCGCCTCTGAGGCGCGCCTCAGCCCTAGCGAGGCATACGCCTCTTGAAAGCCCAAAATTGCGTAGGCTATGAGGCGTTTTTGGGCAGAATTGCGCAAAGGCGCGCCTCTAATTGCGCAATTTTAAACAGAGGTTAGCCTCTCCTAGGCTTCACCACCACTCTCTAGAACTCACAAAGAGATCATGACAAAAGCTGAATTTCATTTCAATAATCATCATCCCAAATACAATAGAAATGACCTATATATAGGTCTCACCAAAAAGAAAAGAAACAAAGACTAAAATGCCCTTGGGGCTATAACATCAAATGACCACCCATAAGGGTAAAACAATAAAAACTGAAAATAAAAATAAACTACTACATAAAATGACTCAATTATATAAGCTCCTGATCGTAGTCGTCGATCTCCGGTGTCTCCTCTGATAAACTAGCCGAAATCTCTTGCTGATGTCCTCATCAGAATGTGAATAGGATATATAACTTATAAGGAAATATAAAACTCATTGCAGTTCTTGAAGAAATGCAAACTCCGAAATAGTTATAATTAGGTTGCTGGCACCACATGACATTCTAAAAGCCAATAAAAATGATTTAGTAGCAAATAACTTACTTTCACACATTTCCATTGAGAAATGTGTTCTTATGGGTATAGACTTATTTCCTGCCAATCAATCCGGAAAGCAAATATCTTACAGCATGAAGCATCCTATATAAAGGAATGGTCATGTTTTTATTCTTGTGATCAATTGCATTTTTTTATGTGATAATCCTACACTTTCCCTGTTGATTGGCTATTCTAATGTTTTGTATTGTATCTTTGTGAACTTTTTTAATGCTAGATAACTATTGTAGAATACTTTGTTAGGAGTTTTTTGGAAGTCAACTTATACTGCTAGTTCTTTTTTGTTTAATCTTAGGGGATTACTTTTTTGCAAACTTTTCATTCTTGGTTATCAATTGTTATCTCTTTGTACGACTGAGTTATTTATCCCACCATTGTACTAAATATTAGTTATCCCACTACTTTGCAAATTTAAATCAAGCATATTTTTCATAAAATGAGGTCAGCTAGGTTCATCTTGCTTTCTTTTTCTGTTCTTGATTTGTGTTTCAGAATAAACTTTTTGAAGAGAATTTGACATTATTAATGGTATTCTATGGTTTCTTAGTAGTATCATGATGAACTTCTGCAGTTGCAGAATATTGTGGGAATGTCGAATTGTGTAGACTCACTGAACAGGTTGTATTTTCGGATCCATACAAGATTTCTCAGTATAACCATTGGACATCTCCTTACCTTGATCAAGATGCTGAGACTGTTCGGGAAGATGATATCTTAAAGCTTGAGGTCGCTGGCCTGAAATCCATGTATGATGATCATCCTTGTGACACCTTTCTAATTAAGTTATAAAGCTCTTGACACCACTTTATGTTTTGTAGTTATTTTATGCTGTCTATTAAATTTGATAGGTTTTATCAGCTTTGCTTTCATATTTTAGGTTCTGTGAGAGAGCCCAAGCTCTCATTCATGGAGATCTCCATACTGGTTCAGTCATGGTGACCACAGATTCTACTCAAGTTATAGATCCAGAATTTGCCTTTTATGGGCCTATGGGGTTTGATATAGGAGCTCTTGTGGGGAATTTAATTTTAGCATTTTTTTCACAAGATGGACATTCTGATAATGGAAAAGATCGGAAGGTATGGATTAAAGTTTTCTTTTATCATATTTTTTTTGCTTAATGCTGGATTATCAATTCAATATTTGTTTATTACATGGTTTCTAAATGTAGGTGAACTAGCTCATTGCCTGTTGGAGAGAATTTTTTTTTTATAAGTTTTGTACTATTATTGAGTTATTTGTTATGCGAATGCATGCAATTGTGAATGTACATTCTTTTAAGCATTTGATGTGTATGTTAAGCAAATCTGACTAATTTTGTATTGGTATTCAATATTTTCCGATTAGTTTAAAGATGTAGGCATATATGAGAGCTCATGATAAAATTGTACATATAATTCGTGATGTAAAGAAAGTGACATACGAATAAGGTGAGAAGATAATTGCACCTTAGTTCAGGAAGATGTCAAAAAAACCTTGAAAGATTAGGAGAGAGGATGGAGACACACCCAGTGAAGGAATTGCATGTAGATTAAACACAAGACCTAAAACACTTGCAGTTGATTAAGCCATAACAATAATGAATGTTAAAGAGCCCATGTTGGAAACAATAGGAAGATGAAGCATGAGGTAAAACTAAAAAATGAATTTGTATTCCTCATCCCTATATTGAAATAATATTAATTTATTTTTGTGTCCAGAGAGCAAAAGTAGTGGACCATGGAAATGAAGAAGGAATGCTTAGACCCAGGCGAGTGAGGCAATCGGCTATAGTGGTTGTGTTTTGAAGTGTGGGTTTTAAACCAAATATACTTGTGTTTTTTTATAGTTTTTTAGTGTAATGCTCTAAAAAATTATTTTGTATTGGACTTGTTTGAACCACTATTTTTTGTGTATTTTGATGGCCATCGAGGTGTGTTTTTTGGCATTTTTCTAGATTATATATTGAATTAGGTTTTTTCTGAGAAGTTTGCTGGTGGAAGACTTTCAAAATTACTATTTTTTGTTTTAAGAAGAGTACTGCACTAACAAAGAATAAATCGAACTTTAATTTGCATGACTCCTTAGGAGGTTTAGTAGTGAATCTTCCCACGAAACAAATGATAAACTATTAGTTGAGCTAAAGTTTCTTATATTGCTACTAAATTCCTTTGCAGCATATGGGATTTCAAGTTATATCTGGTTGGTTCTTTAACCATTCAACTTCTAGTTATTTTTTATTTGCACTTTTATTTGCTCTTTGCAAGTAGAGTCTATATGGGAATAAGACAGTTGATGTAATAACCTGCACGACTAGAAGAACCCACCATTGTTGCTAGCATATGTAAAAGGTTGTCTTGATATGTAGTAGATTTGGATATCTTGACTCTTGCATGTAGGTTGCTCTTGCAAAACTTCTTCTTGAATCTCAAAGCTGAAGGAGAACAGAAGCTACCCATGTTACTTTGGCTTTGTTTGTGGGATGAGATTTATAACAAAAATAGCAATCTGTATGAAATATTGAAGCCTGCACGGCTTTCAAAAGAATTATAGGGAGTAACTACAATTTTATAGATTAGGAGGACATTTTTGGAAGTAGAAATATATAATATTTGACTTGTTGCCACATGTATTATTATGTGAGGTTAACTTAACAGCTAATTTTAATGGACGTTGGGTGGTGGTGCCACTTGGAAGATAGAAACTAGAAAGTTAAGGTGGATCTAAATGACATGAAAAAACGCTAGGGACTCTGTTTGAGGCCTTTACAAACCTGGACTAACTTTAAGTGGCCTCTGAACCTTTGGTAGCCATGCATAATTTACCCGTAATTTTATTGTACTTTGAATGTCATTGTTCATTTATACTAATTTAGTTATTTACCATATGCCATTTTCTTTAACAAAAGAACTATGATTGCTGTGTGTTTATTTCTAATGATTTTTTAAACTTTTGAAATGAGAAATTGTTTTTTACAATGTGGAGACTTTTCTATTAGGAATTTACATTCTATACTGATTTAGATCTTTTTTCTGATTGAGTTGTTTCTATCACTTTGTTTCACAGGTATATAAACAGTGGATTCTTAAGACAATAGAAGACACTTGGAATCTTTTTCATAAGAAATTCATTTCCTTATGGAATGAACACAAAGATGGGAATGGCGAGGCCTACCTTGCGGATGTATACAAGAAGCCAGAACTTTGGTTCCTTGTACAGGAAAAGTATATAAAAGATTTATTTCATGATTCTCTTGGATTTGGTGCTGCCAAAATGATCAGGTGATTTTTCCTAAATGCATTTCTCTTTTGAAACTTTTTTTTGGACAAAAAATTTTGTATCCAAGTATTATAGAGCAAGGGTGTCAATATATGACATGACTTGAAAATCTAACCCAAACGCCTCACCCGACGCCGTCACCCTCGCAGCCTCGTGCTCCCCGGCCGTGCACTCTCCCTCGCCCACTCGCCCTTGCCTGCTCCCTTACCCTCACTCTCGCTCTTGCTGACTCGATCATTCTATTTCTGGATGAAGTGTGGCCAATATTTTAGGGTTTTATTATATTTTTGGGATGAAATACATGATATATATTAGTTGTAGTGACAATAGATTTTAGGTTTTTTTTAGCATGTAAAATGGAGAGCCAATTGCACACCAAAAGGTTATGATAGAATTGATATGGAAGGATTTAGAAGAAAAATGATTTTACTAAAGATGGGCTTTTGAGTGTGCAAAAGAACTTATTCAAAATAGATTTCACACCTACCTTAGCGCTCCACATGAATGATTGGGGATGGAGAATTCATAAAGCTGAGCTTAGCTAGTTGGAATAAAGATGGATGATTACATCATACTTGAAGAATAGTATTTGATTTACAAATGTTAAATCAATCTGATTTTGTTCTAACTTGTCTTTTTACAACATTTTGAAGTGATTAGTAAGTGTGTTCTATTTCATTTAGTAAACTAAAGATAAAATATAATTAACTGTTCAAAATTTTATGCTTGCCAAGAGTACATTTATATAAAACCTTTTTCTCTTTTCGAGTAAAACTTGTGCAGTTCATGTAGTTGACTATTTCCTCACTTTTTTTTTTCCATTCTTTTGTATTGAAGCTAGTAGCACACATTTGGAAATTTTGATCGACTGTTTGATTCTCTATCATGGTTATGTATTTGTTCTAACCACTGGTTATTTTATTTTGTAAAATGATTTTTGTTCGGGTAGTTTTTGCACATCTCTATATTTTAGGATTTTCTTTTGCATGTTTCATTACTATGACATTTATATGTGATTATATATAATTTAAGCATTTGGTGTTATATACATGCTTTATTAAATTCCGAACTATAATAAGGAAGGTATTTAACAACTTTTACAATAATCTTTTTAGGAGAGTTGAGAGAAAATAAGAAAGCCCTAAAATGTCATCTTTTTAATTTAGAGGCTGTTTGGTTGGCTAAAAAAATAATTCAGTGTAAAAGGAGGAATGCAAATAAAAGGAATACTTTAGAATTGTTTGGATGAGTAAGTAAATGCAGGTGGTTTTTTTTTCTTTTAAGTAAATGAATATAGTATAAAGTTCCAAGATGGTGGTCGGCAGTTGTGGCCGATGGTTGGTAGTGGTTGCTAGTGTTGTTGGCGGTTGGCTGCGCATAGAGGCGGTGGTCGGTGGCTAGTGGTGGCGGCCGCGAAAGGTGGGTGGCAGAGCTCAAGTGAGCTTGATTGCTGTGTAAATGGTTCTCACTCAAAATTGGACGAGTTTAGTTTGACTCAAAATGAAATTAAATAGTTTCCACTACATTTACTTTATTTTACATTGCATTCCTATTTCTTCTAAACAAACACTAACATTTTCAAAATCCCAGTATTTGAAATGCGTTACAGCCATTTTAGTTCTAACCAAACAGCCCCTTAAGTCAATATAAAAACAAATTGCGAGCATAAGAGTGAGTGAACATGAAATATTAAAAAAAAAAAATCATATATGTCATACTGTTTAGCAATTGGTACATAATAAAGTTGATGTTACTCTAAATGAGAGACAAGTTACTCTGAAAGTGTGTTCTCAATGATCATGAAACTATAGAGATATGTGCAGCATAATCCCTTTAATCTAATATTATCTTGCACAAATCAGATATTGTTCTCATTTTTTAAGAGAAAATTAACTGAAAAACATTGCCAAATATGATCTCCTCCATAAAACTTTGTGACTTCAAATATGAATGCTAGATAATAAATGGATGGAATGTTAAAAAGTTGAGTATCACATGCCTACTTGCTAAATGTTTAAACGCCTAATGTTGTATTCATAAGTTATTATATGTAGAGTAGCTTAATAATAAGTGACAATAGGCTTTCTGTAGCTTATGCGGGAAACTAACAAGATTAGTTTTATTTTTGCTGTTTCTCATTGTATTTGCAAATTTCTACTATATTTGAACTTTTATGTAATAAGTCATGCTGGTCTCAATACAAGGAGACGATGTCATAGGGTTTTGATCATTACTAGTAATGATGAATGCAATGAAAGAGTGCTAATAAATCATGCATTGACTTGGACTCGTTTTATTTTTATCAAAATTGGATGACATGTCTATTTTTTTATCTTTTCTTTTATTTTCTAAGATAAGACATTATTGGCTTTAAATTGTAATATCTCTTTATTTTTTTATCTTTTCTTTTACTTTTGATATGCTTATTTGATGTATTAAAAGCCGCATCCCATCAAAGTAATTAATAGGAGGTGTTAACCCCCTGATGCTGCTTATCCTAATAGGATTCTCTAGGTTCTTATTAAAAAGTATGAGAGTACTCAGATTGTTCGTCAGTCTGAACGCCTCTATCTCCATGACCAAATTCAACCAATTCTACTGTACATTTATTCTCCCAATTGCCATATACAACCATCAATTTGTCCCTTTCTTCATGACCTACATCTATAATATCTATGATGAAGGAAAGAAAAAATAAAGTTTCATGTTCATCTTTTTTTCCTTTATTTACAAAAATTGCTCACTCTTTCTTGGTGGTTGAGGTGAGTTGATTTCTAAGAAGGATAATAGAGTGATCTTGAATCATGGGAGTAAATGTACCACCGCTCAACTTAGAATTAATATCACTAGGTTTTTATTGGGATGATTTCTTGGTGGAGTTAACTCATTCATATTATAACATTATTAAAGTTGAGGATTACGCATCAACTGTTTAGGATCTGATACAGTTTAAGCTTACAAAAAGAGTAAAAATAAAGGGAAAAAGAAACTGTATAAATGAAAACTAGTGCTGGATCTCACTTGATGATTAACGCTTCCATCTTGCTCATGCCTTTCTTCCTTTCCCCGCATCTCTTAATTTTTTAAATTCTCAATTTTTGTTTTTCCTCTCAATTTGTGTGCCTTTACTCTTTTGTTTGAATGCAACTAGTGAGATATATGGTTGAGAGAGAGAGCTATAAAGGTGGAGAGAGAAGATTGGGTATGATGGCTCCAATTAGATTTTTTTTAGCACAAAAACTTAGAATTTAATTCCTATAGTTTAAACATCTTAAATGCCTCCTATTTATGGAGTGTAAGAGCCTAAATTATATCCTTAACTTTAGGATTAATTGAACTAATTATAAAATAAGATAAAAATATTTAAAAGAAGATAAAAGGGATTTAGATAATATATTCAAAGAGAAAATTAAGGAGGAGATATAAGGATATATCTTATCGCTCTTTAATGATCGACACCCCTCGTGAATTAGAAGTTGACTGACCACCTTCAATTAGGAGGTGGCAAAAGGTGGCTCTTCCTTTAGTGCTAGGGCTACAAACGAACAGAGCGTTCAACAAGTCACTCAGGGCTCGGCTTGGTTATAGTTCGTTCATGATCGTTTGATTAAATAATCAAACTTGCTTGAACATTTTTTTTAAATACTCACTGGTTAAATAAGCAAGTTTTGAACAACTATGTGCTCGACTCATTTATGTTTATGAATCATCATTTAAAGCTCATGAACAAATTCAATATGGAGATTGATAAGAAGCCCGATTCATGTTTGGTGAACAAACACATTAAAAAACTCTACAAAATGATGAACAATCTAATATAAAGTATGTTATATATCTTATAATATAATAATCATTAATTAATAAATTTTAAAGGCAATTAACCATTAAAGTTATGATTAAGGGTACCAAGTACTGTAATTGGGCATTGTAATATATGTATGATATATGGACATTGCTTGGTTATGTTGAAGCTTTATTTGTTAAAATCCCAAGCCTTTTTCTATTTCTTGACCTGTAAATGCCAGTTTGCAGCTTTACCAAGCTTAAGCTTCTCTTGTTGCAGGAGGATAGTTGGGGTAGCTCATGTTGAGGACTTCGAGTCGATCACTGATGCTGAAAGAAGAGCGTATTGTGAACACCGTGCTTTAGAATTCGCTAAAATGATTCTAAAAGAAAGGCAGCGCTACGATACTATCGAGCAAATCACATCTGCACTTCAGAATATCCCTTCGTAATGGCCTTATGGAGCTCGTAAAATTTATCGCTTGTCGGACGAGTTAATTAGAAGAAAAGAATGCTCTCTCTCTTACCTATATGCTCCTGTACAAAATGCAGTACCAGGACTGCCAGGTTTGAATAATTTTCGCTTCTCGTCTTCTTTAAAAAATGTAAATGAGATTTCATGACGACTGCTGGAGTTTTTTTTATAAGTATAATGGTATAATTTGCCATCATATCCTTACCAAAATCATCAGTGAGATTTTTTTTTTGTGTGAATGTGAAGATATATTTGATATGATCTACACTTCTAAGAGTTTCGGTCATACTTGTATTTGCTGATCTCATGAGAGAAAGGGTGGAAAGTTAAAATTCATTAGTAAGGTTTAGATTTTTTTTTTTCCTTTCATATATATTTTATTTTTTATTTTTCTTAAGTTAGGTATTATGGTTGGCAAGGGTTTAAGAGACAATGTTGATAGTCCCAATAGTCTTGATTGAACTTAATTCAAATCCTTATATGGGTTTTCTCTGTCTAGTTAGGTATTATTATACAATTAGGGAGTTAAGATAAAAATATAAATGGTAGTGTAGCCCAATAAAATAGTTATCATTTTGATAGGGGCTTTATGTTTTGGTGTCATCCTCTATTATGCATCTTTTTTAGTTGAAGGCATGGATGAATTGTTCTATGCGGACACCGGACGGAAGAATCATCTGGTTTTGTCTTTGTGAACAGTAAAAGCGCAGCTCCCTGTATTGTGTTTTTATTGTTCACAGAGACAAAACTAGATTGTTCTTCCCGTACGGTGTTCGTATAGAATAATTTCTCAAAGGCAAGGGTTTGTAAAGAAGACACTCTTATAAATGTACTCATCAATGGGGTGAGGAGGCCTAAAGTATAAAATGATTTGTATAGGGGTAAATCTTTTATTGATAGACCCCATTAGTGTTAATTCTCGATAATTAAAACCACTACCATCATACCCTTGAGTATTTTTGTGTTGGAATTTAAGGGCATGTTCTTGAAAGTAAACTCCTCTAGTTATGAAATTTATAATGCCCATTATTAAGGATTGGGAACCTCTAAATCAGAGGCAAAAGTCTATTCAAGTTCAGAAACTTCTTGGGCACTAGATAGTTCTTTTCAATTCATTTTTTTAGCATATAAACAGAAGTTATGACTTTAGTTCTCCATTAAGCATAATAAGTGTGTATATTGGTGCATTGGCCATCTTTTTTGCTTGTTTTCAGGAGATTATCTCAACGCCAACCAAAGTTGACCATTATTTATCCCACATGCCTTAGTAAATTAGTAATTCTTTACTTTTGTAGCTCACTAGCTAAGGCTTGCAAACCATAACTCTCATATATCTCACGTATCAAATCTTTTTTATAGGCTAAGCGCATGAAAATATTAAGGTTCAAATTCAAGATACCTAAGGCCTAGGAGGATTTTTTAAAATCTATCCACCATCGAGGAGTTAAAGCTTCAAATATATTGTTTGATTGAAGTGAATCCATCTATAAGTTTAAATAGAGTTATAAGTAGAGTTTGTCAAAATGAATTTTTTGGGTCGAATTTGGTTTAACTTCGGAATTAGACCCAATTTTCTCACCTGACCCGGACATGACTGAGTATTGTTTACAGCTCGCAAAAGCCTGGACCAAACCCCGATCTAAGCAATTGACCAGTTTTAACCGACTAGAATTGACCTCCAGTTTTAATCCCAACTACTGATTCCAACCCAACCACATGACCCGTTGAGATTCAATGGGCGACCAAGCGCTAGTGGTGGGTGAGCACAAGCAAGTGCAATCGTGTGAGTGGCAAGGGTAGCAGCAAATCTGAACCTAAATTACAATTGAGCCAAATACAAAAAATGACCTGTTTTTTAAAGTGTTTTTCGGATCGAAGATTTTTAGGTTTGATTTTTAGCCCTGTCAAACAACACCCTTAGTTCTTCTTTAGCCCTTCATTTGGTAATAATATAAATATATAGTGATTCATAAAAATTAATAAAGTCTTCATTATTGATGTTGGTCTGCAATGAATTCAAAGAGAATAATGGGGTTTCTTAAACTACTATAATAAGTGCTTCGAGAGCTCATTCATTGCTTGGGGCTTGAATCTTATCATACAGCTATTTGGGGAGGAGGAAACGAAGGAAATTAGTAAGAATGAAAGCGAATCTTGCTCAATTCACTCATATTAATCTCAATTTTTCTTATTTGTCCTATATAGAATTACGAATGAGTTCATGAAATCGCCTGTACGTTCTGACTTATTATGTTATTTATTTGTTTTCACATAAGCATCATCACTGCATTCCCTGGGTGCATCGACCCTTTATGAAGGGTTAGTGAGAGTCATATGAGATTCTTAATTTGGTACATGGCTTGCACAAATATTAGGATGTAGGCTACTCTTAAATTTCATATTAATGATCATTCACTACTATTTAATACATAAAAAAAAACATATGGGGGCCCCCCCCTAAAAAGAAAAATTATTTTGTGGGCGGACGCCGATGGCATCCGAAGACCAACCAGAATGCATACATCGCTTCGTATTTTAGATGAAGTGTGATCTAGTTTGGTCTCCAGACTATCTGAATGTTCGTACAGAATATGACTCAACTCAGGCTTACGTTCGGAAAAGTTTTCTTACTGCTTTTCTACAACAATTTTTTAGTACAAAAATTTTGAAAAAATTAATTTTGATAGCTAAAGTTGCTATTCAAAAATGATAAAAGACTGTCTCAAAATTTAAAAATAATATAAATAATGACCTTATGCTATGTTGTCCCAAAAAAAGCCTAAATATTTGGCCTATTGAACTTCAAGGCCTCAGCATCCTTATTTGATGGTTTTCCACTAATGGAGCTAAGCTAAGCAAAAATTACAAGATTTTTTCACCCTTTTTGTATGGTTTTAGATCAAATCTTTAGCTTATTTAATGGTAACATTGATACAAAGCCAATCTAAAAAGCATGGTAATTTAATATACCTCATAGTGGATCAACTCTTCAAGCACCAAATTTTTTTGGGTTCCCCATTCTAATCAAGGCATAAACAAATTATTTTTTCATATTATCAAAATTTATTCAGAGTGATATAAATTTGTTCTTTCATAGTATTTTTATTTAACCTATTTTTTACGGATGTGCATTTTTTTTTTTTAATAAATATAACATAAACTTAAACAAAAATTGAAAAAAAAAAAAAAACTCATATTTTCATTTATATCACTGAACTATATAATAAAAGAAAACATTTATAATTTTTATGCAATCTCTCAATAAAATTATAATTTGTACATGATTGTAAAAAATAAATCTACTAACAAAGGCTACCTCAATTTGAGAGCGACACCCGCACACAGTGACTGTTGTGGTCTGCGTTTTCGTGAGGAGTATCTTTTAATTACTTTTCATTTTACTTTACCTTGTTTTACGGTGGACTATTGGGATGTTGGGTTTAGTTTCTAGGTTGGTGTCTGAGCTTAGGTGAGAATAAATGTAAATCTTTATATATATTTGTAATCTCAAATCTTCATTTTTAAGTTTGAATTAGTAATCTGTTCTATGGCATTCAATAATTTTTAAGATTCATATACTACATATAACAATTTAGATAAATTATTTAAAAAGGGCGGCTAGGTGGCTTTCATCGATAGGCCTAATCTGCTGGTTTAGAAAGCGAATGGCTTGATATGAGGTGGTTGGTTTTGCTAATTTAGTGGATTTATAGTTTATGTCGAGTGGCAGGAAGAGACTAGTTGATAGAGTGCGTTGTCTTTCTAGCTTTTGTTGTCCTAATTATAAGTTAGTGACTTATACTTATTTGAGTTCATTCAATATTTAGAATTGTGTGTCTGGTGTGGGTGTGTCTTATGGGTAAGATTAGAATTGATTAGATATCTCACTTTTTACTTCTACTTTCTTTATTGATCTTTGAGACATACTAGGTTTTGCTTGAATCAAAGTTAGTTTGAAATTATACTCCTTTTATAACTATTAATGTCTTGATGATTTAGATTTTGAAAATGATTAATTGATTATCTTAGGGTATTATGACATCGTGCAGAGTTTTGCAGCTAGAGTTTCATTCATTTGTATTATATTATCATTACGATTGATTTGATATGGTGTGGTAATTAGGAGATGATATCATATTCGAAATCAATTTTATTTTAAACATTATAACTTTCTTGGGAATATAATATTGGTGTCGTATCAGTAGATTCATATCGGTTATGGTTAATCATTTTTCGGTAGATATTAGGGGTTTAATTATATTTGTTCCCAATATCGATTCATTTTGATTATTGCACTATTATAGACCAAATTGGATTGAATGTTTATTGATATTTAAGAAATTGTAGTTCCTAAACAGATGGTGTTGATAACGATAATTCAGATACTGTTATTTAATATCGGGATGAGTTGTCATTTAAAAGATTATGTCCATTTGGTATCTACTGCGGTTTGTTAAGATCTGGTATAGATGATTGTAATATTGATAAATTATCGTGTAGATCGAGGAGGGAATATGTGATTGAAGTTATTCAGATAGACTATTATGAGAAGGCCATTTTATCAATATAGTTTCTTTTTGTATGCTCGTAGCGATTGATAAGTACCTGGTCTAGTATGTTTTGTATTCTTCGATATTTTTGCCGGCGTTTTATATCTTCATCTGATATTTTGCTTTCTTAATGATGATACCTTCTTTGTAGGATCATCGCAACGAAGGGTGTAATCACCATGTTAAGGCTCTGATTATAGGAGGACTTTTGTAGTTATGGATGTGGGGACATTATTACTATCTGAAGTAGGGGAAGTTTTTCATGTATATGAGAGGATATAGGGGAGGAAGGGGAAGTAGGAATATCTTATTAATATATGAGGGCTGTTAGCCTGGACAGGGATACACATAATAACAGGAAGAGGTTGTCACATAAGTGGAAGGGAAGACATTCCTATAAGTAGGGGCTAGACTAGACAGGGGATTAATAAGATTAGAACTAGGGAAGGTAGCCAAGAAAGAAAGAAGAAAAGAGAAGAGAGGAGGCAATTTATCTGAGTATGATCTGGAAAGGGGATTAGTGGCCTGAATTAGGAATAGCGAAGGATCAGCTATCTGAGAAGGGAGAATGGTCAATTTTTCATACTTCTGAGTTTTGTAGATCCGAGGTGGAAATGGGCTTCGAGTTAACAAAAATCACTGGGGG